TAGTGGTCTGTGGACCACATCCACTGTGTTGCCACCGGATCTACATTATTAAACAACAAAATGAGAAATCAAGCCCTGATATGTAGCGTTTGCTGATTTCCTAAGGGTAAATGCTCACACTGAAAATTTAACTATAGGGTCTGGGGACTGGTTCCAGCTTGTGCCTATTCCAGTCAGATGTCCTGGTCAGGAGGACCTTAGGACCTCCAAAGTTGTTTGGAGTCTGCCTTCCTTTCAGCCTCGGCCCTTCCCCCAACCCCAGCAGTGGGGTATTGGCTACCAGGCTGCCTCGTTTAAAGTCCATTCACAGTAAGGCAAAGCCACCCTGGATGTCACTGCTCCTCTTCCAAAAGGAAGGTTGAACAACAACTACTACTAGTGAGGATGCAGGGGAAAGAGGCGGCAGAGTCTGATTGGCTGAAAGTAAATGAGAGAGAGAGAGAGAGAGAGGGAGGGAGGGAGGGAGAGAGAAATCCCATTTGATCTTTATTGGGCTGTGTAATGAAAAATCACTAATGAGAAGTCTTATTGTATTTATCCTTGAATATTAGCCTCTTAACTGATTGCAATCATTCAAAGACTCTTCATTGCTAAGTATTCCCTCCCTTTTATGGGAATAAAACTGCTTGTTCCCCCACTTAAGGGGAAAATAATAACGATAACAACAGCTAACATTTATATTGTGTTTACTACACGCCAGACATTATGCTAAGTGCTTTACATTTATTATCTCATTTGACCTTCACAACCACCCTGGGAGGAAAGTGCTATTATAACCCCTCCCCCCATTTTACAGATGAGGAAACTGAGGTGAACAAAGGTGAAGCGACTTGCCCAGGTCACACAGCCACTAAGTGCCTGAGGCTGAATTTGAATTGGGGGGGTCTCCCTAACTTCAGACCTGGTACTCTACCCACTGCTCCACCTACTGGCTTCAGTTGAAGACTACATCTGAGGCCCCCAAGTAGTACTGTCAATAATAACCCAGTGGGAAGAGAAAGCAGCAGGGAAGAGTGGAGATGCAATGCCCAGCAGGAAGCAGGTCCAGTAGAATAGTGTGATGTTATCAGAAGATACCAGCATCTCATACTGTTAGAGACATGAATTACCCCTTCACAGCTGTACACTGACCACACATACTCCCTTTGTGAATGCTTCTCAGCATATGTACTGGCTTCATGTGTGCTGCCTCACAAGAATGCCCACTCTTCCCTTTGATATGTATTTGTGGAAGAGATACACTAGGTTGGCAGCTAGGTGGTGCAGTGGATAGAGTGCTGAGCCTGTTCAAATCTGGCCTCAGACATTTACTAGCTGTGTGACTCTGGACAAGTCACTTAACCTTGTTTGCCTCAGTTTCCTCATCTGTAAAAGGAGCTGGAGAAGGAGATGGCAAACCACTCCAGTATTTTTGCCAGCAAAACACCAAAATGGGGTCACAAAGATTCAATCACAATTGGACAATATACTCCAGGTTAACGGCAGTGTGGGAAGGAACTATTGCTACTTTTCTTACTATGCTATTTCACTCAATGCCTTTGCAGTGAACAAATAGTGTCCTCTGTCTGACTAATAAAAGTAAATACAGCGATAGGGGCTTCAGGGTACTTCAGACCTGAAGTAGTTTTTTCTGGGTGGCCTATGTCTGAGAGGGGAGTGTTGCAGAGGTGGTATCCACTTGACAGCAAGACTAGGGAATGGCAATTTAAACCAGAAATGTTAGTAGCCACAGCAAGTTTAAAATGAATGAGAGTGAAATACAGTATTGCTACTTAATGTAAAAGTATCAATGAAAAAGTTAGTTCAGAAGTGTGAAAATGAAAGTAGCAGATTGATATTGTGCCTAATGTGCCGGACATGAAGTCAGGAAACCTGATTTGGAATCCCATCCTTGACACTTGCCCAGAGATCTGGAAGAAATTAACTCTGAGTCTGTTTCCTCATCCATAAAATAAGGATAACATAGCATGTCCCAAAAGTCTTAGTGCAGTTTTAAGCTTTACTAACTCTAGTTATTTAGCTGGTCTAATTGCTTTTAAAGTTTCATAGTTTTAAAAGTTTAATAGTTTTTAAAGTTACTAGTTTTTAAAGCTTTAATAATTTTAAACTATTAAAAGCTTACAACTAAAATAAATGCAAAAAAATTGTCTTGACATGTAATTGGAAAAAATAAAATACCATTTTAAAAAAAGGTTACAAATGCAGGACAACTTTTGGGACACCTTGTAATATCTATAATCCCAGCCTCCCTGAGGTGTGCACTGTGAAAGAGATAATGCAGGTAAAATATTTTGCAAACCTTAAAGTGCTACATAAATGTCAATTATTGCTATAGATAATAGTCCTTCTTCACTCAAAGGGCCACAACTTGAGGTCAGGCCCTCATTACACTCACCTGGACTACTATACCAGCCTTTTCTAACTGATCTTATTTGTCTCTAGTCTGTCCCTCAACTAATTTGTACTTTATCTACCACCTAACCTCTACCTACCTCAGTTTTTTCACCTATAAAAAATAGCACTCTCTCCCAGGGTTGTTGTGAGGATTGAATGAGATAATATTTGTAAAGTTCTTTGCAAACTTTGTAAGGTTTATATAAAATTTATAAATGCTAGCTCTTCTATAAAAGCTAGCTGTTATCTTAGAATCCTTTGCTTTCCCACTTCAGGTGCCCCTTCTCCCCTAAAGCCTTCCCGGATCCCTTAAAGGCATCTCCCTCCTCAGATTGCTTGTACTGATTTATCTGTATGCCCCTGGCAGGTGAGGAGAAGCACTCTGAGGGCAGAGATGGTCTCATTTCTGCCTTTGGATTCCCAATGCTCAGCAGGAGGCATTACACATAGTGAGTGCTTCGTAAATGCTTGTTGAACTGAATTATTTGTTGAATTACACACTTACTGAGAATATATGAGTTGGGTAAAGCAGTAACTTTCGTCCCTTTTGGAGTTGTGTCAATCTCCTGTTTGTTCAATTTCATCACCTCTCCTATCTGTGGCAAATATAAGATTGACTCATATTTATATCCTGCCTAATGGTCAGTTACAAAGTGCACTGGGGACATAATATCATAGATTTATTGCTAGATGGGACCTTATGGGTCCAACTCTCTCATTTTACAGATGAGGAAACTGAGTCCCAGAATACTTATAGCATAAGTTCATGCACATAGTTATGTGGCAGTTAGGATCTGAACCCAAGTCCTCCATTCCCAGTTCTAAATCTATGATTGATCTTGTGATCATTTTGTAGTTTCGGAGAGTTATGTATGTTATCCAAGGTCACACAGCTTCAGGGTGGTAGAACTCCTGTTTCTGACTCCATCTGCTACACCAGGCTGACACTCAGGTTTGTGTTAAATGACACATTTATTTGAAGCCAAAGAAATCATTTCGAATTTGAGAATTTCATGCAACCTGTGGACACAAGGAGTCAAACACAGGATGTGACTCCCTGAAAGTCAAGGTCACTGGGCAGCCCGGGTTTGGGAATGACACTTTTGTCTAGGGGTGCTACATTCCATCCTCCCAGCTAGCTCGGTGCCCAGGTGGAGACCGATGGATCAGACTTTTCAGAGTGAGAGAAGTGAATGTTCCTTTGTGGGTCTCAGTGAGTGTCTGCCGGCAGTATCTAGGAAGTCTGGCCTCTGGGGCAAATGCGGTGGCACTGTGTGATTGTGTGTGTGATTGTGTGCCTGTGTGTGTCTGGAGTGGGGGGATCACAGACAAGAGAAGCAATCCCCAGGAGAAGGCAGTGCTGAAATGCGGCGGAAGAGCCTTAAGGCAGAAAACACTCCTGGGGAAGGGGAAGGACGGAAAGTCCGGTTGACAATAAATCCCCTGGAGCCGGACATTCTGGGGGAAAGCTCAGGGTCCCCATAGTGTGACTCTAAACGGGGCCCTGGTCCTTGTGGGTTCCTTTACCCTTGCTAGCTCGACCAGCCTGGCCAGGCGGCCGGACGAGTCGCGTCCACGGCAGCCAGGCTCCCCTCCCTCCCTCCCAACCTTGGGGACAAAGCTCTCAGCGATGGAGCCTCTCTCTTCCAGACTGGGCACCGGAAGAGCCGGATTCGAGTCTTGTTGCTTCCACTTGTGAACTTGGGGACACTCCGAGAGGTCATTTAACCTCAACTGCCTCAGTGGGTGACCTTGGGCAAGTCACATGGCCTTTGAGCCTCAGTTTCCTCATCTGTAACAAGAAGGGGTTGGACTAGCTTGTCTCTGCAGATAGAAAGACGGTGAAAATCTTGGGTTTAGGGCCCCTGGGTAGTGAGGGTCTGAAGGTTTGCAAAACAGCTTTCCACCCTGAGGTCAGTGCTATTATTATACTCATTTGCCAGATGGAGAAAGTGAGGCTCGGCAATCGAGGTCTCCCAGCCAGGGACTCCGAAAGGCTGGCACCATTATTATACCCATTCGACAGATGGGGAAAGCGAGGCTCAGAGAAGCGGTTTGCCCAGGACCACCCAGCTAATGGGCTTTTAGGGCAGAGGTTTTCAGCCTTGGGTCCACGAACCCTCGTGAATTTCACTGGGGTGGGAAGGTGGGGGAGGGGCGATCCGTGAACCCGAATGGGGGGGGGAATGACGTTATTTTTCACTCGAGAGACAGAATTCGAACCCAGCGCTCACCCCTCTAAGTCACGCTTCTTCTAAGGCAAGCTACCCTCTAAGCCTCCTAGAGCCCGGGGCTCCCCGTCCCTTCGAAGTGGCCGGGGCTGTGACAGGGTGAAAGCGGCAGCAGCTCGGGAAGGCTCGGGAGGCCGAGGTCAAGCTCCGCCCTCCGGGCCGCTGTCCAGGACCCGTGCAGGCCGGGAGCCTACGTGCCGTCGCCTCGCCTTAGGGCTCCCAGCGCAGCGCCCCGCGCACGGTAAGCGGAGGGAGGCCGGGGGAGGGGGGAGCTGCTCCCTGCCCCTCCTCCTCCCCTCCTGCCCGTGACCTTGGAGCTCCGGTCCTGGAGGGAGCGGCCGGGCCGGGCGGGACGTCCTGCCCGGCCTCGGCGGCTTCTGCTGCCCTCTGCCGCCCCGACTCGGTCCAGAGCCAGGCCCGGATCCGAGCTGCAAGAGGAGGCCTCGGGCAGCAGGTAGTCTGCTTCCCCCTCCCGTTTTTCCGAGGCCTTAGCAGAGATCTGGCCTCCCCTCCCCTCCCCCCACCGGTCCGAGGTCACGCTGGGGGCTCGCGGATGGCTTTGGAGTCAGGCGACCAAGGCTCAAGGGACAGCTCAGCCGCTCACTTCCTGGGTGCGGTCCCTTGGCCAGATCAGCCGGGCCCGAGGTTCCTCACTGGTCAAACACCGGCGCTGGGGTCTATCAGATCAGTTCTCGGGTCGTGGTTCCTTAAAGAGTTGGAATAAAAGGAAGGAGCAGAGGTGGAGAGAGGGAGGGAGACAGATAGTCCGAGGGTCTGGCAGCCTTCCCCGCAAGGAGGGGGGTCATTGGGCATCCAGAACCAGAGGACCCGGGCTGCGGCAAGCCCCAAGGTCAGCTCTTGCTCTAGCTTCCTCTCCATTGTAATATAATCTCTGTTTCCTCACCCAGATTGTTTCCAATAAACTGATTTTTTTGCCTTTACCACGAAGAGGTTAGGGGTTAACCAGAGAAAGAAGTAAATGTAAAGCGAGGCAGAAACTCTAACCTCTGATTAAATGTTAGGAATTTTCCTAAGTGGAGGCTCCCGATCAATCAATAAACATTAATTAAGCACCTACTATGTGCCAGGCACTGTACTGGGGGTACAAAAAGAGGCAAAAGACAGTTTTTTTTCCCCTCAAGAAGTTCACAGTCCCATTGATTGTGACTGAATGATTGCTAATGAGCTCATGACCAGTTTTTCTAAAATAAATTATCTAAAGACAAGGAGGAGGGAGTCATGTGAACCAAAGGGGCTGTTGTTGCCCAGGACATCCATGTTCACTTCACTCCTGGTGAAGTTCGCCACTCAACTCTTGACTCTCCAGACTTTTTGTTTTTAATGAATAATTTCAATCAGTAAAAATCTGCTTTCTCTCCTTCTCTCTACCCCTCCCCTCCAAATTGAGTTAGAAAGAAAAAACAAAACCGTTACAAACACATAGAGTCAAGCAAAACAAATTTCTGCATTGGCCAAGTTCAAAAAAAAGTCTCATTCTGCGCTGAGTCTTTCACCTTTCCAGGAGATTAGGCAGCGTCTTTCATCAGAAGTCTTGGTTGGTTATTGCAATGATCAGTGTTCAAATTTTTCAAAGTTGATTGTCCTTACAATGGTGCGTTATTGTATTCGTCGTTCTCCTGGTTCTGCTCATTTCACTTTTCATCAGTTCATATAAGTCTTCCCAGGTTTCTCTGAAACCAGCCTACTCGGCATTTCTTATGGCATAATAGCATTCCGTCACATTCATTTACTATCACGTATTCAGGCAGTCCCCAATTGACGGGCATCCCCGAAGTTTCTAATCCTTTGCCACCCCAGGAAGAGCTGCCGTAAATAATTTTGAACATTCATACAGTTTATTTTGCTTGGGGCCAATCCCTCCTTTAATATACCCCTCCTCATATTCCCTCTTCTCCCTTCTTGCCTTCCCCTTCTGTTTCCTATTGAATACAGTGTATTTATTTCTGTACCCAATTCTGTATATGTATGTTCTTCCCTCCTTTGATTAGTTCAGATGAGAGTGAAGCCGAGTGTTAAAAGATCCCCTCCTTCTTCCTTGTTTATGCCTCCATGTTTTTCTATCATCTCCTCAGCACCCTTCCCCTCCTATTCTTTTTCCTCCTCTTTCTTCTTCCTCCTTTCTAATTCTACCTTCCTTTTATATGTTGTCTTCTCATGTTAGGACATAAGATCCTTGGAGGGTAGGGACTGTTTTTTTTTTCGTTTAAATTTTATCATTATTATTTTTTTTCTTAAATTTGTATTCCTAGTGCATAGCACAATACTTGGCACATGGTAAACACTTAACAAATGCTCTGGTCATTTAGTCCAATGGCTTTATTGTACAGATGAGGAGACTCAGGCTCAGAGAAGTGTTGCGACTTGCCCAAGGTCACACAGATAGCAAAAGAGGCAGCATTTGAACCCAGTTCCTCTGACTCCAAATCCAGAGCTCTTCCCATCAAACCAAGCTGTATGTGTCATTTACAGTGAGCCTTAAAATCTCCCATGGATATTCACATACATGGTGTGCAATTTTGAAACCTTGGGTAGGGGTGCGTAACCCAGCCTATGGGAGTTGCCATAGCTGTCTGCCTCACCATGCTTTCTTTTCTCAGAATATGCTGCTCACACAAAGCGCATGCCTTAGACCCTCACAACCACACTGGGAGGTGGGTGGGACAGGACCAGGGAGAGGGAATAACTTGTCCAAAGTCAGATGGTCGGTATAGAGCAGAGCTGGGTCAAGAACTCAGTCTGTTGACCAACTGGCCCAGTGCTCTTGCCACTCTCCTATGTCTTCATCACTGCAGTGATAGTGGCCAGGAGATATTGTGGGGTATTTCTTAGTATTCAATTGGCAGCCCCCATGTGGCTAGGGCCCTTTCTGTGCTTTCGTCCCAGAAGCCTCTTCTCTTTTTCAGGGTTCAAAGGATCATGAGGTACATCAGTACTCGGGGAGGATCTCCCAGCCTTGACTTTGAAGGAGCCTTGTTCTCAGGCTATGCCCCTGATGGAGGTCTCTTCATGCCTGAAGAGATCCCCCATCTGGATAGGGAGACCCTGAAACAATGGAGCACCCTCTCCTACCCTGCCCTGGTGACCGAGCTGTGCTCTCTCTTCATTGACCCAGAGCTCATGCCAAAGAAAGACTTGAAAGGTGAGTCCCCCAGATTCCCAACTCATCCTAAAAAGGGCTTGCAAATGCTCCTTGAAAATAATTGAAACTGAATCCTGTGAAATCACAAAGAGCAAGTGACCCAAAAAAAGAGGTATGAGAAGACCTTTGCAGAGCATAAAATGTCAGATTGTGTGTGTGTGTGTGTGTGTGTGTGTGTGTGTGGGTGTGTGTGTGTGTGTGTGGGTGTGTGTGTGTGGGTGGGTGGGTAGTTTTGATCATTCGGGGGTTTTTTTACTAAATTTTTTTCTCTCTTTGTCTTTTTTTTTCCTTTTCCTACCCACTGGGGTAGGTGGGGGGAAGGATAAAGGGGGAAATCTAGGTGATGTAAAAAACAGATATAAATAAAATTCTATTAAAATAAAAACTATATAGTAAATTCCACATTTCATTTTTTGTAAATAGCATTTTATTTTTTAAAGGAATTTTTCAATATTCATTTTTTATCAGATTTTGAGTTCCAAATTTTTCTCACACCCTGTCCCCCAGTGGCAAACAATCTGATATAGGTTATACATGTGCAACCATGTTAAACATATTTCCACAGTAGTTATCCACATTACTTTTTTTTTTAATTCCTTATTATAAGGGATGGCTCTCTGGGAAGAGGGAGAGGAGGAATATGGGGGAGATCTAGGTAACATAAAAATAAAAGGTATCAATGAAAAAAATATATTTTAAAAGAACCTGAGTGCTGTTCAATTACAATGATCCACTTTGATTCCAAAGAAGAGTTATGAGGAGGCACCGCTCCCTGCTTCTGTGATGACTTGGGGGACTATGGGTATGGAACAATGGAACCGTCTACTGTCAGGTTTTTTTCACACTGAGGACTTTTGCTGAACTGTTTTTGTTTGTTTGTTTTTTATTTTTTATTTTTTGTTATAAAGGAAATCTCATTGGGACAAGGGGAAGGGAAGAAATACATTGGGAAATATAGGTGATTTTAAAAAAAAACAGTATATTCATAAAAATTTATTTGGAAAAAAACAATAAAAAATTGAATACCTGTTCATTGATTGAAGCTAACTAACTTCAATTTTTAAAAATCTATAAAATGAAGGGATTGGACTAAATGGCCAGGATCCCATCATTCTGCATGGTTCATCTAAAACCTCAAAACCTGGTGGGATTTAGTTTTCATTAGCTCCACATGCCAACTTCTAAGAGGCTTTTTGGAATCTTAAAATATCAGAACTGGGAAGGGACCTTAAGGTTATCTAATCTAATCCCCATCATCCATGACAAATAGTTTCTCTCTCTCTCTCTCTTCCTCCGCTCCCTCTTCCCCCTGTCTCTCTCTTTCCTTCTCTCATTCTCTTTCCCTCTCCCTCTCTTTCTATTTTTGACTATCTTTCCCATTTCGGAATGTGTGTGGCAGCCTATAAATTGTATGTAGGGCCTCAGCATGCTTTCCCTTGCCCCCTTTTATCACAGAAACATATCAATTGCCTTCAGGAAAAATTGCAAACATGTAATTATAGCCATACTCCCCCCACCCTCACAAATTTCTTTACCCCTTTAGGGAAAAAAATGGAAAAGATAGTCTGAAAGATGCAATTTCATAGCCCAGTTCTGGTGGAAGGGAGGTGAACTGTCTGGGACTAAGGGACATTGTTGGAAGAAAGAACTATCATTCCTTATCTCTCCTCCCCCCCAGGTCTGATTGACCAAGCCTTCAGCAGGTTTCGCCACAGAGATGTCGTTCACCTGTCCAGGTTGAAGAATGGATTGAATGTGTTGGAGCTGTGGCATGGTGTCACCTACGCCTTCAAGGATCTGTCAATGTCCTGTGCAGGACAGTTCTTACAGTACTTTCTGGAGAAAAGGCAGAAACACATCACCATTGTTGTAGGTAGGTGGAAGCTGGAAGGAAGGAACCCCCAAGGTTATCCCATCTAATCTCTTCATTTAAGGCTCCCAACCCATGGCTGGGGGGACCCCAGAAGTCCTCTAGTTCTACCTCCTCATTCTACAGATGAGGAGACAGAGTCACAAAGCTAAGAAGCCACAGAGTTGGGATTCACATCCTGGTCTTGAGACTCCAAATCTCAAGCTCTAGTTTCAGATTGCTCCAGGAATATAGGCTGCGCCTGTAAGTATAGGGAGCTGTCTTCCAGTCCCTGGGTGCAATTGGTCACAGGGAGAACCGTGTAAGGTGGCATCCATGTGTCTGTGCAAGCCTTGCTCTGGCTCCAGCATAGCGAGTTGGTGGGCTTGTCCTGATAGAGTCAGGTTTGTATGCAAATCATTCTTCTTTGTAGTGCTAGGTCTTTTCCAGGGGTTGCTAATTTTCTCCCTGGTGACAGGTGGGAGTCCAACCATTTGGCATTGTGGCCTCATAGATAGAGTGCAGGGCTCAGAGTCAGGAAAAGCTTGGGTTCTAATCCCACCTCTGACACTTAATAGTTGTGCTACAGATAGCTTAACCCGTGTACAAGTCATGAAATCTGAGTCTCAGGCTTTTCATCTATAAAATGGGTGCGGTAATAGCATCTTTCTCACAAGGCGAGGTGAGAAAGGTGCTTTATAAACCATGAAGCAGTGTGGCATGGTAGACAGTCAGGAAGACCTGTGTGACTGTGTGACTTTAGGCAGGTTACTTAACTTCTCAATGCCCCAGGCTACTCTCTAAGACTATAAGTTACAGAAAAAGTACTGATCTGCATTGGTAAGAGGAGTTTCCACACTGGGAGTTTCCCTGAACAATGAAACCACATGGTCTGGTCTTAAAAAAAAACAAAACAACACAACAAAATTAGTCCAGTCCATAAAGCACTATCAAAGTGCTTACAAGGCAACTAGGGGTTGCCGTAGTACACAGAGCACTGGGCCTGGAGTCTGGAAGACCTGAGTTCAAATCCAGGCTCAGACACTCACTAGTTGTGTGACCCTGGGCAAGTCACCAGATCTCTGCCTGACTCAGTTTCCTCAACTGTAGAACGGGCATAATAACAGCACCTACTTCCCAGGGTTGTTGTGAGAATCAAATAACATAATATTTATAAATTACTTTGCAAACCTTAGAGTTCTATAGTAGTAGTAGTAGTAGTAGTAGTAATAGAAATAGTAGGAGTAGTAGAAGTAGTAGTATCAGTAGCAGTAGTGGTAGTTACAGTGTGAATTATTAACATTATTGTTATTTCCCATCAGGGACTTCGGGAGACACAGGAAGTTCAGCCATTGAAAGCGTCCGAGGAGCCAAAAACATCGACATCATTGTTTTGTTGCCCCTGGGGCGATGCTCCAAGATCCAGGAGCTCCAGATGACAACAGTGATTGAGGGGAATGTGCATGTGTTTGGGGGTAGGGACTGCATAGGAACCTTCTGGGTGAATGGACCCTGAGCTAATGAAATGTTAAGGGAAGGAAATCATTTCATCTTTTTAAAAAAAAATGAATGAATTAATTAATTTTTAGTTTTCAACATTCGAGATTTTGGCTTCCAAATTTTCTCCCCATCTCTCCCCTCCCTTTACCCCAAGACAGTGTGCATTCAGGATTCTGATTACCCCTTCCCTCAATCTTCTCTCCCTTCTATCACCCCCTTCCCCCTTATCCCCTTCCCCCTCTATTTTCCTGTAGGGCAAGATGGATTTCTATACCCCATTGCCTGTGTATCTTATTTCCCAGTTGCATGTAAAAACAATTTTTTTTTTTTTGGTAAGACAGTTGGGGTTAAATGACTTGTCCAGAGTCACACAGCTAGTGAGTGTTATGTGTCTGAGGCTGGATTTGAACTCAGGTCCTCCCAACTTCAGGGCTGGTGCTCTATCCACTGCGCTACCTAGCTGCCCATCAAAACAATTTTTAACATTTATTTTTAAAACTTTGAGTTCCATATTCTCTCCCTTCTTTCCTCCCCACCCACCCTCATTGAGAAGGCAGCAGTATGATATAGTTTATACATATGTAGTCATACAAAACAGAAAGTCATTTAAGGGCTAGACTAGAACCTGAGACCCTCTATAGCAGTGGTTCTTAAACTAGGATCTATGAACTTCTTAAATAGATAGATAGATAAAGAGATGGACAGATGGCTGAACAGATGGATGGATGGATACATAAATGATGAATAGATGGATAGATGGATGGATAGATCAATGAATAGATAGATGGATGGATGATAGATAAGTGGATGGATGGATGAATGGGCATAGATGGATAGATAGGTGAATAGAAGGATAGATAGATGAATAGATGGATGGATAGATGGATAGATAGATGAGTAGACAGGTAGAAAGATAGATGAATGGATGGATGGATAGGTAGATAGTAGATGGATGGATAGATGACAAGATAACTTTCAATCTAATTGGCTCTCTTTGTAATCCTCTGTGTTTTATTTTATGCATTTAAAAACACTATTCTGAGAAGGGATTCTTCACCAGACTCCCAGAGGGGTCCTTGATACAAAAAAGGTGATGGACCCTGCTCTAAAGGGGGGAGTCACTTGACTGCCTCTGTGGTGAGGTTCAAAGGGGTGCTGAAAGATCCCCACACCTTTCCAACGTATATTCTCCAATTTTTAACGTATTAGCAATTGCACTGTTCCTTGACTCACTGCCATGTGACAGATCTGGCTTTTGGAGGCTGGTCCCGACTCAGGCCTGTCTAGTAGTTCAAGTCTGAGATTTAGAATGAAATGAGACACTCTGAGACAATCTAGCAGTCTCCCAAAGGAAGCTGATTTAGTCATAGCATGGAAAGAATACTTAGCAAGGATCTCACACCAATCCATTTAGGTGCACATTGACCTCCACACTGGCCATGCTGGTCTGCCAATCATAAACACCTATGAACTCCTTGCCTTCTGACTTTTGTACCTCAGCCGCCAGGAAGCTACATTAATGTCCCAGGCCTTCATGGTCTGGGTCTATTAGGTTTCAGGGGTGATTTCGACACCTTTAAAGAAAAATGAACCTTGCTTTCATGGCAGAAATTGCTTCCACCACAGTGAATCACGGTACTTACTCAAATAATCATTAATAAGCATTTATTAAGCCCTAGGAGATATGAGAACGAAGAACAAAACAATTCCTACAGGCAAAGAGCTTGCATTCTAACCAAAAGACGTTATGTGAATGGGTGATTTTAATATGTGTTGAATGAATGAGTGTGAAAGAAGTTCTGGGGGACAAATGCAGAGGATGCCTGATTGGGACTGAGAAGCCAGACTGGGATCAGAGTGCGGAATGCCTTGAATGCCCAGCTGAAGGGTGGGGAGGAGCTCACTGGCCTCAGAGTTGGTGAGTTCCTGACCCCTGTCATGTCCTCTCTTGCCCAACAGTGGAAGGTGACAGCGATGAGCTGGACAAGCCCATCAAAGACGTGTTTGCCGACGTGGCTTTTGCCAAGAAGCATAACCTGATGAGTTTGAATTCCATCAACTGGTCCCGGGTCCTCGTGCAGATGGCTCACTATTTCTTTGCCTACTTCCAGTGCGCGCCATCCATGGACATCTACCCACTGCCCACCGTGGAGGTGGTTGTGCCGACAGGGGCTGCGGGCAATCTGGCTGGTGAGGAGAGCCCCGAACTTCAGCCCACAGACTAGCCTTGAAATAATGTCACGATATCATAGAATTAGAGGTCAGCTAGGACAGACCTCTCACTTTACAGAATTGGACAGGGAAGCCCAGAGGAAATGACGTGACCATCCTGAGGTCACATAGGATTTGAATCCAGAACCTCTAAACACTGATAACTCTAATACCTGATGCTAGGTGACAAGAGCATTTTTTCCGTCATTTTCAGTCATGTCTGACTCCTTATTGGACGCCATTTGCGGTTTTCTTGGCAGATATACTGGAAGTCGTTTGCTGTTTCCTTTTTCAGCTCATTTTCCAGATGAGGAAACTGAGGCAAACAGGATTAAGTGACTCGTCTGGGGTCCCTGGGCTAGAAAGTGTCTGAGACCAGATTTGAACTCAGGAATGTGAGTCTTCATGCAGGCTGCTCTGTGCAGTGTGGTGCCACCTAGTGGCTGACAAGAACATTACAGTTATAAAACAGGGCTTCAGGAGGTCAGGGCCGGGGGGAAGGCTCTTTATTAGTACAGGGCCTGGGTATGCAGTTAGGGGAGACTTTGTAAAAGAAGTAGTGTTGAGGTCATTTTTGAGAGGTGTTTGGAGATTCAGTAGGAGAACATAAGATCTGGAGTGAGAATGCCTGGGTTTGAATTCCAGTCCTCCTAATATCATCCTGCTGTATACACACATCCGTCACCAGCTCACCTGGGCTGTCCCAAGGATTACCATCACCGTAGGCTTAGAAGGCGTCTGCTTGTCCTCGTTTCCAGCCGGCTGCATTGCTCAGGAAATGGGCCTGCCTATCCGTCTGGCCACAGTGGTGAACCACAATGACATTATCCACAGGACTGTCCAGCAGGGGGACTTCTCACTCTCAGGGACCACCAGCCCAACCTTGGCATCAGCCATGGACATTCAGGTGAGACCCAGGAGAGAGAGGGCGGACTCCTCCTCTCCCTCCCCCTTCTACATGACATATTGGCATTCTTCCTCTCTAGGGGAGGAGAGGGGTCTATGGCACACATCCCAGAGGCCTTCCCTGGGACTGCCATTCTCCAGATTAGAATCACTGCTTTGAGTGGAGTTGTGTTAATCCCTCCTTTACATCCCTTGTTAAGGGGCAAGTGTGTTATTCCTATGCTATACATGGGAAAGAGTCTTGGCTTAGGAGTGAGAGGACCTGCATTTAAATCAAATATTTATTGCCTCTGTAGGCAAGTCAGGGACCTCCTATGGGCCTCAGTTTTCTCAACTTTAAAATGAGAACTTTGGATTAAGTAATTTCTGAGATCACTTCTGGCTCTAAATCTATGGTCCAAAAATATCTAGAGATTTGTGCCACCTTAAGCCAAGGTTGGTGGTTGGCTTGAATTGTGTGTGGTGCAGTTAGCTTTTCATAGAGCCCTGACCCTTGAAGAGAGTTGAGGCAGGGAGGCCCACCAGCAGATATTACAATAGTCTAGATGTGAGATTATGAAAGTCTGCATTGGGGAAGGGGTGATGTCAGGAGAGGGAAGGGGATATATTTGAGAGATGTTATGGAGGTAGAATGACAGGCCTTGGCGCCATATTGGATATGGGGACTGAGAGAGAGAGGGGAGTCAAGGATGACACCTAGGTTGGGGGACTGAGAAGATGGTGTTGCCCTTTATGGTAATTGGAAGGTTAGGAATAAGAGAGCGTGTTAGGATAAAGACAGTGGGTTGAGCTTTGGACCTATTGAGTTTAAGATGTCTGTGGAACATCCATTTTGAGATATCCAATAAGCAGTTGGAGATGCCAGTCTGGAGGTCAGCAGAGAGGGTAGGAAAGTAAAGTTTGCTTATGGGTTGCTTATTCCTACTGGCATGAAGAGTCTACAAGTGATCCACTGATGCCAGCCCCTTGAGCCTGCCCTCTCAATGATCCCAATCTCTTTAATGCTTTCAAGTACCTGCGATGAGGTGCCATGTCCTTCCAAGTCTCCTTTTCTCCAGGACAAACATGACCAGTTCCCTCAACTGATTTCAGTGAAGAATTCCTAGAGATAAAAGAAAAGAAAAACAGTTTTGTGTGTGTGTGTGTGTGTGTGTGTGTGTGTGTGTGTGTGTATGTTTCTGTCTCTGTCAAATGAGATAATATTTGTTGGGTTGGTTTTTTTTTTGTTTGTTTTTTTTTGGAGGCAATTGGGGTTAAGTGACTTGACCAGAGTCACAGAGCTAGTAAATATCCGAGGCCAGATTTGAACTCAGGTCTTCCTGACTCCAGGGCCAGTGTTCTATCCATTGCTCCACCTGGCTGCCCTGAAATGAAATAATATTTGTAAAGCATTTAGCACAGTGTGTGCTAGCATGCACTTAATAAATGCTTGTTCCCTTCCCCCCTTTCCCCCTACTCTTATGTCTACTTGGGTCTGTGCACTAGCACTCAATGGTATGGCATAGGCAATAGTGAGCCAGCCTTGTTCAAGGCCTGCCCCTGATCCATGCAGGCTATGTGACCCTGGGCAAGTCATCTAACCACTCACTGCCCTAAGCCAGAGGTGTCTAAATGAGCTGCAACCAGATTAAAATGTAATTGGGAAATAGTTAACAAAAATCAGTAAAAATACAATAACACATAGACAATGTCAATATGTGGTTTTCTAAGTCAATATGGGCCCTTGGAGATCCTTTGCTGTTATTCAAGTAGCCAAGGGGGCCATAGCTCACCAATACTGTCCATGGAATTTTCTTAGTAAAGATACTGGAGTGGTTCGCCATTTCCTTCTCCAGTGGATTAAGGCAAACAGAAGTAAGTGACTCACCCAGGGTCACACAGCTAGTAAGTGTCTGAGGCTAGATTTGAACTCTGTTCTTTCTGGTCTTTCTGACTCCAGGTCCAATGCTCTATCCACTAAGCTGCCTCCTCGAGATCCTTATGAACCTGTTAATGGCCCTTGTTTCTAAGTTAGACAACGCTAGTCTAAGAAACTTAGATTAGCAGCGTCTACCTTAGAAACTCTGAGACTCCAAGTTGTAAGGATGGTTGCTGACCTGTGTTGACTATGAGGCCCACCCTCTGTCCTCTGTCCTCTACTCTACCTCTCCTGGAACTTGGTAGTTCAAGAATAAATATTGGTTGAATTGAGCGCCTTACAGCCCCGACCTCAGAGCTGATACATTGTCCTTGTGAATTCACGCCCGGCCCTTCTCTTGCAGGTGCCTTATAACATGGAGAGGATCTTCTGGCTGCTCTCGGGCTCAGACAGCAAGCTGGTCAAGGCCCTGATGGAGCAGTTTGAAAGAACCAAGAAGCTGCGTGTGCCAAAAGACCTCCATGCCAAGGTCGGCGGCTTCCCACAATGGGGCCGATAAAGGGAAACAGCTCAGCCAAAAGACCTTTGCTTTGGTAGCTTGTACCAAACAGTAGTTAGGACATGCTTCTCATTCCCTCACCAAAGAAGGCCATTTGCCTTCTCTTAACTGCCAAGACGGGAGAGTCTTAATAACTCCTTACTGTGACCAAAGTCCAGCAGGCCAGAATTCAGGGACCATCCAACCCAACCGTTTCCCAAAAAAGGAATGCCCACTTTGTATGCCTGACTAGTAACCATCCAGGCTGTGCTTGGAGACCCCCAATGAGGGGGAGCTCACTACCTCCCAAAGCAGCCTGCTCACTTTTGGATGGCTCCAATGCAGGGGTTCTTAAAGTTTTATTTTGGCAGTCTGATAAAGTCTCTCGAGCCCTCCTCAGAATCATGTTCTTCAGTGGATGGAAAGGAATGTCACCCACTGAAGTGCTCCATCCGTAGGCTGAGGTCACTCCGGAGGCAGTCCGAGGAGTCTGAGCCTTCTCCTTCTGTGCATCAGCTCTTTGGGGATGGCGCAAAGTGCTCTCCTGCCTTCCTTCTCCTAACGGGGTGCTGCCCCACTTGATCCAGCCCTAAAGTGGGAGAGGTCTAACATGCTTAGAGTTTCCTCTGTAGGACAGAGCCATCACTAATGATTTCTGGGACCAAGGGAAGAATAATGTTGTGCCTTTGAAAAGCAGCACAAAACCTGACTGACAATCAGCTTTTTAACCTGGGGTCCCCATGGATAGAAATGCTGGGCCAAAATGAGGCTGATGCTCAGCATCGGCGTAGGAGGAAAGAAAAGGAAGCAAACATTTCCTAAGCACCTACTATGTGCCAGGCTCTCTCTGTGCTAAGATCTTTACAAATATGGTATGATTTGATCCTTATAACCACTCTATTAGATAGATGCTATTATTATCTCCATTTAAGAGTGGGGAAGGCTGAGATAGACAAAGGTTAAGTGACTTGCCCACCTTGTAAGTAGATGAGGCCAGATTTGAACTCCCTTCTTCCTGGGTGGGGGATGGGAGGTGTCATATCAGAGCCAGAATTGGTTAGGAAGTGCCATTATAGGCATTGAAAAGCTAGCTATTTTAACTAATACTTCCAGTATCCTCTAAATTTGACACCCTGGAACGAAACCCCAGGTGCCCCACCTTAGTTACGGCTCTCCTTCAGTATTCCTCAGGAGGCCTAAGGCTAGAGTGCTTAATTTGTAATACATCCTACCTCAATGTGAGATGCTTGAACAGTGAGTCAAAAACAAACTACATTAATTTGTTGAACCATGAATCAAGCCCTAATAATTTCTTTCTTTGAACCTTGAATCAAACTGAAGATTTCCCCCCCAAAAAAGCAACTGAATTAGTTGTTATTGTTGTTAAGTCATTATAATCATGTCTGACTCTTCATGATAGCCTTTTTGGGGTTTTCTTGGTGGAGAGACTGGAGTGGTTTGCCATTTCCTTCTCCAGCCTTATTTTATAGATGAGGAAACTGAGGCGAACAGGGTGAAGTGACTTGACCAGAGTCACACAGCTAAGAAGTGTCTGAGGCTGGGGTCTTCCTGACTCCAGGCCCCGCTCTCTGTCCACTGCACTACTGAACTAGTACCTAACGTATATTTTCTACAGATGTAAAGACAAGAAAATTGGAACATCAAAATATTCCCTGAACCACACCAATATTGACGTGGTCCTGCCTGTTGAATTTGGCAGGTTTCTGTTGTTTCTTCCCCAGATTTCAGAGAGAATTAGCTCACAGTCGGCTTCTGATGATGACATCATTCATACCATGCGGCGATGCTGGGAGGAGAACCGCTATCTGCTGTGTCCACATTCTGCTGTGGCTGTCTTCTACCATTACAAGCGATCAGCCTGTGAACAGCCCAGGTAGAGGGCATGCCCTTCCTTCCCTTCTGTTGGTCTGGGGCAGAGGTGGGGGATTTCTGTGCCATGACCTCACTGGCTCCCTTCTCATTGGACCCACAACAGTGTATGGTGCTTGGGTAAGAGCGCTAGTTTGGGAGTAAAAGACCCTGCTGGGCCTGGTTTTTTTCATCTATGCAATGGGGAGTGGGGGGATAGTAGACTGTACTATATCTCTTCATGATCTCTGGAAATAGAGACTGCTTCATTTAAAGGCCTGTGAGTTTTCCACTAATTCTATAGCAGCTCCTTGGCTTGTCTTTCACAGTCTGCCATGACTATAATCACATTCATGCCAGGGCTACGAGGAACTAGACTTCTTCCAAATCCCAGGGAGCTCACAGGCAGAACATTGAGCTGGTCCTAGGAAGACCTAGGTTCTCTGTAGACCTAAAACCCTACTTACCCTGGCTGTCCTTCATGCTATGACGCATATACACAACATCCATAGACACCCTTCTTCCGGGGGGTAGAAGGCAGGTAATGTTGGCTGTGTATTCCAGGTGCTTCTCAATTTTACCAGTGACCTGGATGAAGGGGTAATCAGATGCTTGTCCAATTCAGGGAGCTGGAGGAGGTAACCAAAGCACTAGTTAATTGAGATTGGATGCAAAAAGTGTCTCAGGCCAGCTCATATTCCCTTGTGATGTTGCCAATGTGGGTTTCTTGACAATGTTGTCCTCCTCAGAATTTCTGTCTTGATCCTCACTCTTCTCGTAATATGAATCTATCGTACGGTTTCTTTTTGCTCATGGTGTTTCTTTGTTCCCTGGCCTTTAAAGAGATTGAGCTCTCCTGCTGGGGAGCAGAGGGCACCGGCCCAAGCTTTTTGTGTTGGGAGCCTAGGTCTTGGTCACAGGCTTTGTGTGCTGGGGGTTGGGCTGGAATCAGCAAGGCTGGAACTTTGTGGCACCTCTAGGTTGCTTTCTTCAGCTCCTTTCAGACGAATGCTGCCGGGTGCTTATTCACCTGGGGCCCTTTGTAGTGCTGCTTCCCTTATTTTTGCTGAGGCACTGGGAGACCCATTTGCTGTAGAACGCCAAGGCACCAGAATCTCCTCCTGGTGTGCTAAAGTGGGGCTTTCTGCTTGCTGGCTGGACGACTCCTGTTCTGTACTGCTCCCCTTCCCCCAGGGTAAGAGGGGCCTTTCCTGTTAATCCCTCTAGCTACCTGGGCTGCTGCACTGCTGCACCCCATCTTTCTTCTGGTTCAGCTGTTCCAGGGTTTTTTCTGGGGTGATATTTTCTGGGTTTTCAGAGATTGATAAGGGAAGGTGGGAGCGACCACCTTTTTACTCCGCCATCTTGGCTCCTGGAAGCGAAAGTCCGAAAAGTGTCTCAATGGGCTGGAGTATGATGTAATCTAAAGTGAATAAATATGAAGTCCTATGTGAGAGGCAGCAGGGTGTGGCGCCTAGCAGATTAGCCTTTAGAGTCAAAAAAAACCTAGGGGCAGCTAGGTGGTACAGTGGACAGAGTACCAGGCCTGGAGTTAGGAAGACTCATCTTCCCAAGTTCATGTCCAGGCATAGACACTTACTAGCTGTATGACCCTGGCCAAGTCACTTAACCCTGTTTGCCTCAGTTTCCTCATCTGTCAAATGAGCTGGAGAAGGAAATGGCAAACCACTGCAGTATATAACAAAACCCTAAATGGGGACATGAAGAGTCAGACATGACTTAAACAACTGAACAACAATGAACCCAAGTGAAATGCCAGCCTCAGACACCATGTGTAACCATGGTAACTTCAGGCAGCTCTTTAATAGTTGAGTGACAAGTGAGTTGCTAACCAGCATCAGTGAAGGGAATCTCTCCACTGGAAATTCCGTACCTACACTGATGAATTCACAAGTCTGGAGAGAAAATTAAATCAAAGAAAGTCTTGCATTATGTTTTTAAAAAAAACTACAAAAATATAGGATTGAGGAGACATGATTAGGTAATGATATTAATAGCAAATATTGATACTATGTTAGGGTTTATGACTCAACACCAACTTTGGTGCCAGTATTATTCACATTTTACAGAAGAGGAAAATGAGGCTCAGAGAGAGGAATGATTTGCGCAGGGTTACACAGCTAGTAAATTATCTGAGGTCAAATTTTAATCTGGATCTTCCTGACTGTAAGTCTGGTGTTTTATCTGCTGTGCCACCTAACCGTGACCTAGAAAGTAGCTTGAATAGAAGGGTCCAGGAGGTTTTAGCAGACTGTAGTCTTGGGTGGGATGTGTTGAAGGAACTGAGTATCTTTCGCTTGGAGAAGACTTGGGGAGGATATGATGAGTATTGGGAGGGCGGACGCTAACAGTTGGGAGACTGGACCAGGAAAACCTTCATGAGAAAGATAGCGTCTGAGTTGCGTGTTGAAGAGAGGGATTCTACAAAGGGAAGGGGAGGAAGAAATGCTTTTTGGCTAAGAGGAAGATCTGAGAAAAGGCCCATAGAGCGTGTGAGGAACGGAGAAGCGGGCAGATTGGCTAGATTGCCAGGAGCAGGAGGGAGTGAGACATTTCATGAGGCTGGAAAGGCAGGAAGGGTCCAGGGTGGGAAGGGCTTTACAAGCTAAACAGAGCAGTTTCTATTTGATGCTAGAGGCAATAGGAGGCTTAGAGTCTGCTGAGTGGAGAAGCGGTGCGGTCAGATCTGCCTCAGTAGGAAAATGGCCATTTGGTCAGCTCCAGCAGTATCAGACATCACCCTAAAACTGTGATTTGGTGGTGTAGGAAGCTGCCAATGAAGAATTCCCTCTGTCGGTGCAGGTTGGCACCTGCTCTGAATGGACAGACATAAGGAGTTGCCTGGGGTCCTGAGAGAGAAAATCACTTACTCTGGGTGGCACCAATAAACACCATCCACTGGTCACAGGCAGGACTTGGACCCAGGTGTTCCTGATTCCTAGGCCATCTCTCTATCCACTATGCCTAATGCCTTTCTCCAATAGTTCCTGGCACACAGTCAGTGCTTAATAAATGTTTGTTGATTGACAGTCAATCGATCACCACCGTATTCCTGGAAGCTTGGCCACTCTGAATGCAGCCTAGATATGTTGGGAGTCAGGGGCATCAGTGATCCAAAGCATGAGGTCATAGTTCCTATTTTTATTCAGTGTTTTACCCACCTCTAGCCTATCAGGGCCAAATTCAGCCAAGGAAAGGAGCAAATTGCCAGTTTGGTTTCTGATTTCACCTTTCCTCTTCTTTTCCTCCCTTTCTTCTCTCTTCCTCCATCTTCCTCTCTATACCTCCCTCTGCTTTCCCTCTCTTTCCTTCTCTCTCCTTCCCTTCCCTTTGCCCGTCATGGCCACTCCAACCTCCTCTCCCCGCCTCCAGCCTGCCCAGATGCTGCCTGGCCCCAGCTTCAGCAGTCAAGTTCCAGGATGCTGTTCTCCGAGCCCAACTGGTACCTGAGATTCCTGAAGATATCCGAGCCTTGGAGCACATGAAGACTCGACATAGTCCTCTTCGAAGAGGAGATGACTGGACCCAAGTGCTACGTAGCAAAATAGAGGACCTGTCCCGGCAGAGGAAGGGAGGTGCGAGCTCTTAGGGATAACCAAGCCTTGGTTTGGTTCCAGAAATCACAAGATGTTTCCTATGAGAGAAGTGATTATTTTTCTCTTATATTAATAATCAATTATTAAATTAGGATTGAGGTTTTTCCTTTCTATTTCCTCGTCCCTGTGGATCACTGAGCCAGTCCCTGAAGGGCAAGGCCGATGGGTGAGATTGGCCAAATCCTCTGGGTACATGCTCTGTGATCTTGGGCGGGACCCCACCCAACTAGAAGACGTTATGTTTGTTTAGAGCGATCTACAGAATCTAGTCTAGGTGATTCCAGCCCTAAAGCACTGAGCCCATGTCCTTGCACACCTCCACGGTAGTCTAGGGAAACTCAGCTCGTGAAAGAGAAAACCAACAGGAGTGCTCCAGGTAGACATAGATTCCTTTGTCCCGAATTGCTGGAGTCTCACGATCAAGTCACATTCTCAGCAGGAGGAGCTGAAGACTTTAGCCTCATTGATATCTTCATCCTCTCCTTAATTGTTCACCAATCAGGGTTGATTTTCACCTGTTGGGGCACCTCCTTTTCCAAAGATATTTAAGCATTCATGGATCTCCATGGTTTTGTCTTTGGTTACTGAGAGAGACCACTGACCATCAGTTGATTATCAGCTAGCCTAATTAATAAATTGATTATTAATTACCCAGAAACTCTGTCTCTTGGGCTTTTCATTCGTCTGTTTGGCAACCACAGAAGGGACCAGACCTCGGCACTCCAGATACTTATCAGAGAGCTCCCCTATATCTTTTTGAGCCCAAGTGTGAAATTTGTCCACAAGGGGGAACTCTCTGTTAGGACTCTGGCTGTGACTTGACCCTCTCCCTATTTTCATTCATCTCACCTTTTTGAGCCTGCCTTTTCAACTGTGAGATGAGCACAGGCGTGAGCCTAGGTACCTGCTTCAACAAAAATCCAACCCCATTCAACTCACTGTGCATTTACTGAGAACCTACTATGTACAAGATACTGTGCTAGGTTCTAGGGATATAATGACAAAAATAAAAAAAATTCTCCCTGCCCTCAGGGAGCTCATCTTCTACTGAGTGTGATTAACACATATAAAGAATTGATTATAAAGCCACAGTCCTGGATTCTGACCATATGTGAGTGGTCGGTTGGACTCTGTCCCTTGGTCTTGAAGCCTGGTTGTTGCATGCCATCATCATGGGGTGAGATTGTAGATGACACATCCCCATCCCTGGAAACCTAACTGCAGGTACTTGGTGGGTCAGGAGTATCCCCAGAGGATTTGGAGTCATGAGACCTTGGTTCAAATCCTGGCTCTGCTTCTCACCACCAGGGCAGCCTTAGGGAAATCTCTTGATCTCTGAACTTTTGTTTCTTCTTTTGCAAATGAAAATGACCTCCAGCTCCAGATCTATGATCAATTAGGTTACATAGCAGGTAGAGAGCATTGGACCTGAAGTCAGGAAGACCAGAGTTCAAATCCTGCCTCAGACACTTACCAACTGTGTGGCCCTGGTCAAGTCATTTAACTACTTGTTGTGAAACTCAGATGATAATGTATGTGAAAGACCTAAATGTGTAATATATGAGGCAGCTACTGAGGTGGTGCAGTGGATAGAGACTTACAAGCTGTGTGGCCCTGGGCAAAATCACCTAACCTCTGTCTGCCTCAGTTTTCTTATCTTTAAAATGGACACCATAATAACACCTACCTCCCAGGGTGGTTATTGTGAGGAGAAATGAAATAATACATGTAAATTATTTTGTAAACCTTAAGCAATCATATAAACAATGGCTATTCTTATTGTTTTACTATGGGCACATTTCAAAATTGGGGATTGCCGTTCATGGGATAAATCTGGATCTGAGGTGAAGACTCGTTCTGGGTTCTGGGTTTGAATCTAAGAAGAAATGCCTTCTGGTTACTTCGTCTCCAGGTTAACACTCACCAGGGCAAGATTCTGGTGCCTCTTCTTTAATGACCAAAAGAACCCCTCATAATTAACATACTAAGAAACAGATGATACTTTTGATGTATCTGAAGAGTTTTTCTTACTTAGACTTGGAGTAGCGGTTGGATGGTTATTTTCCTCAGCAAACTCTCTCTTCCTAAGTGGGGCAGAAGTCAGCTTCCCCACTGCAACACCAATCGGTCCTACTGTGTGCCAGGCCCTGAGAAAGACCTGGGAGATAACAAACACAAGGAATGAAACAATTCCTATGCTTAAAGAGCTGATCTTGTATCCCACGAGACACCAGGGACATATATAAGTATATACAGAATATAGATAAAGAGAATGAATAAATACAAAAGGGGGAGGGAAAGATAGAGGGAAGAGGGCACTACCAGATGGGAGAACCAAGAACTTTTTGTAGAAGATGGTGCTTGAGATGAGTCTTGAGTGGAGACGAAGAGGCAGAGCATTCCCTGTGTTTTTGTTCAATTGTTTTTTTCTGTCATGTCTGATTGAACAGGGTGAAGTGACTTGCCCAGGGTCACACAGCTAGTAAGTCTCTGAGGCTGGATTTGAACTCGGGCCGATAAGGTACTCTGTCCGCTGTACCACCTAGCTGCCGTGAATGATCACAAATTCCAAACTGGACGAGTCTGAATTAGATTTTTCCTAGAGGCCTAGAGTCATTACTTTTATTTTATGTAGTCACCTGCCTGTTGTACACCAACGTCTACTGAAGAGAAAGGTTGAAAGAAATGTCCTGGGAGAGGCTAGCTTTATCAGTGCTTCTGGGGATGATTTCCCAGAATGATCTTTGCTTCTTTTGTAAATAAAACCATATTGTCCAGCCTCTGGTTGATTCTATTCTATGCTTTGCCCATTTAACAGCAATTAACCGCATGGGCATAGTTACAGGGAAAAAAGCCTAAAAATGAACCCTACTCTGACAATGGCAGGGAGCCCACGAGGTACAGTGGAATGCTGCTTCTGCCATGTTCTGGCTGTGTGTCTTTGGGCAGGTGACTTCACCTCTCTGAGTTTCGTTTTCCTCAATTGTTGAATGAAAATAATAATAATAATATCCCTCCTGGCCCTTTCACAAGGTTGTGAGGCTCTGTCTTACTTATCTTGGCATTTCCCCAGTGCCTAGAACAGTGTTTTATATACAGCAGCTACTTACTAAATGTTGGCTGGTGTTGAAGGCACTTGGAGATGCTGTAGGGGTCATTCGTTCATTCAACAAAGAGAGACTCAGATACGGCCCGGTGTCGTCTGGTAGTAACCGTTCTGCGGTAGGACCGTAGATTTAGAGCTAGAAAGGAATTCAGAGACCATCTGGGAGATAGGGAGGCCTGGCTCCTTCTAGGCTAGGGGTGGCTCTGGTTCAGGTCAGACCAGTATGCAGAGGAAGCAGCCAGGAGAGAGGAAAAGTCAGTATTGCAAAGCCCGGACCCCTCTTGCCTTGCCTTTCCTGCAAGGCTATCCTTCATTTTACAGATGAGGAAACTGAGGCCAAGGAGGTTAAGTGACTTGCCCAGCATTACATGAGTCAGAGGCAGGATTAGAATCCAGGCCTTTTGACTCTAGTACTCCCCTTCATAATAATGTTATGGTATTGGAACTCTCAGTTAATTGGAGTATTAATTAATGTAAATAGTCTGGTCCCTATTAGATCTAGACAAAAGGTTTTCCTTGATTAATTTAATTTAATTTCATGTGTGGCCTAACAGATAGAATGCCCATCTTAGAGTAAGAAACACTTAGGTTCAAATTCCACCACCGGTACTGACATCTGTGTGATCTGTGTTCTCATCTGTAAGATGGGTACAATACTACCTTTGGTACTGATCTCACAAGGAGTCTGTGCATCACTTCTTAGGAAACTGGCCCAAGTTCTCATTTTATCCCTTCTCCAGGAGCCGGAGAATTTCCATGCTAGCCCTGTGGTACACCTCCTCTTCCATCTCTCAAACTTATTTGGGAGGAATAAAGACACTTCCTGTCATGCCCACTGGGGGCCGCTGTGTTCCTACTTTCCCCAGGGTTCTCGCAGGAAAGGCGAGGCTGGAGGGATGGTGGCTTGGCAGTATTCACTTCCCTTGCCTCTTGGCTGCTTCTCCTGGACACTGGTCTGACCTGCACCAGAGCCATCCCCAGGCTGGAACGAGCCAGGCCTCCCCGCCTCCCCAGCCCCCGGCTCCTTCTCTGTACCTGGGGATCTAACCATGATGATGGGACCGGGCAGTTGGCTGGAGCCATCATTGGCAGGGTGAATGCCCGCATGAGGAAGTTCCTTCTCCCAATTCCTGCCAGCAGCCCCTCAGCTGCGAGCCTAGAAAGCTTCCTAGTGAACCGAGATCTCATTACTAGCCTGAAGCCAAACAGCCAGTATGTGTCAGGACTCAAATTCAGATCTTCTTGGCTCTGACACTGGTTCTCTCTTTCCACTGCATCCTGCTGCCATTCATTAATGACAATGATGACGCTAGTTGATGTTTATATAGGGCTTCGTGGCTTACCAAGTGACATACACAAATCAATCAACAAACCATTGCCATTCTGAGTATTTTGACTCAGAAACCTAGAGCTGAAAGGGATCATAGAGATCAAGTCTAATTCCCATTTTACAGAGGAGGAGACTGAGGCCTACCTAATGGAGATTATTCAAACCTTGTGACAACCTTGTGAAAGAGGTTATGGGATCACTACCATTTGACAGATGAGGAAACTGAGACGCAGAGAAGGCAAAGGTCTGTGTCCTTGGTCACATAACTACTATGTATCACACTCAGGTCCTCTGACTCCAGAATGGTGCTCTTTCCACAACATTTTGGCTCTCACACTTAGGTAATAATAATAATAATAATGACTAGTATTTATAGACCCCTTTAAGGTTTGCAAAGCACATTACAAATATCTCATTTGATCCTTACAACAGCCCTGGAATTAGGTGCTGTTATTATCCCCATTTTACAGATGAGGAAACAGAGGCAGGCAGAGGTCAGGTGACTTTGCTCAGGGCCACACAGCCAGTAAGTGTCTATCCACTGCACCACCTCAGTAACTATCTCATATGTTATATAGTTAGGTCTTTCACATACATTATCCTTCAAGTTTCACAACAACTCAGTGAGATAGGCAGGTAAGGAGTTAACCCCAATTTTTTCTGTAAAAATTAGGATAAGAGTAAGGGCCTTGCTCGTGCTAGGAAGGCTGATGCCTGATGTGGACAATTGGAGCCAATAGCTTCTTTATGTTTTATTTCCTGTCACCCTCCTCACCATCACCTCCCTCAATTCCACAGTCACTTATTAAATGCTTTCTAGGTGGGGAACAAGGTGCTGGCACTGGGGACCCAAAGGTACAGAATGACATAGCCCCTGCCCTCAGGGAGCTTGCATTCTCTTAGTGGTCCATGTACCCATGATTCTGGGCTAGATGCTATATAAACATGGCAGCTCTGCCTTGGCTCCCTGGTCTCTAGAGAGCAGGGAATAGTATGGAAAAGGACAGAGGAGAAACACACTAGGGGCAAAAACATGTGAAAATATTTATACGTAGCACAGATCGTAGGCAGGTATGCTTTTAATGTTGACGAAAGGTAGACCATTGGAAGTTGTTTTTGTTTTT